AGGTGTGTCCTTGTCACAGCAGGCTGGACAAAAATAAAAATAGGCTGCAAAGCCTGCAGGCACCTCTGGGGACACCTTTAAGTTGGGCTTGAAATGCAGATTGCCAGGATTCACATCCTCATGCCTCCCCTCAACCTTCAACCCATTCTCTCTTCTCTTCCCAAAGCAGTGGGGGGGACTCCTGGGCCTCCCCATAAGTCATGTTGTTTGATTTGAGTGGAAGCTGGTTACTGTTGCTTTGGGTGGTGTTGGGGTGAGTTACGGTGCTGGTATATCACACTCAGACCAAACCTCAATGAAGTATTATCTTCTGGCATTAAATGTATGTATTTTATTCCCCTCTAGGCAGCCATAGAAGAGGGTCATATCTTTGTTGTCTTTCACTGTCTATTTCTGCCTCCCTCTAAAAATTTATTTTCTTCTTAGCACATATCTACTCTTTGCCTTGTGGAGAAGTTTCTTAATCAGAAAACTCATCCATCAGGTAGTTTCTGTTTGGAATCACTTCTCGCCTAACACACACACACACACACATGCACATGCGCGCACACACACACCCCCAACTTAATGGGATAATTTATACCATAAGCAATGCCCTAAATCTTTGTGTATTATTTTGTGATCGCCACCCCAAAAGCAGCCAGTTATTAAAGGAAGAGAAACAAAGTGTTTGAATATTGAAAGCCAAGGTAATTTGGGATGTGCTTGTGATACTCATCTTTATCATTAAGAAATTGACCTGTTTTCACTGCACTTGAGTCATAATTGCCAGTAAAGTCTAAGGAAATATGAACCAAATGTCAGACTTTCCCATAATTTATTGCAGGCCTCCCCAGCAGTTTTGATTTGGAGGAGGGAATAACATATGAGCAGATGCAGGTGAGTTTTGCAGTTCCTCTGGATGATTTTCTCTTATTGCTTTCAATTCAATACTAACCTGGCTTTTTTTTTCCACTTTAGACTGTGATTGAAGAAGTCCTAGAGGAAAGTGGTTATTACAATTTTACTTCGA